GTTCAGGCAGTGAGCATAGCAATGCGTGTAAAGAGCTAACGGACTGGTCTCTTTTATCTTCGCCTGCACTCCTTCCTTTCCACTTGACATAACGGAGGCTCCATCATATGCCTGACCACGGATGTTGCTAGGATCCAAAGAAATAGATGGGTCAGAGAGAGATTCCAATATCTTTCTTGAAATCATGGCGGCATTTGTTCGTTCCAAGTGCATGAAACTAATTAGACATTCTTTGACATGAGGATCGTTTGGCGTTGACTGGTCCACAAACCTCAAGCATAAAGATAAGATTTCCTGGTTTGAGTGTGGATCTGTACACTCATCTACTATAATCGTGAAAGGAAGGTCCTTGGTCCTTAGGTCTTTTGTCAGCCTTTCCTTAATTTTTGACGAATACACGTGAATGACATCATTCTGGATAGTTTTGCTAGTATATCTTGCTTGTCTGTTTGATGACAAGAGGTGCTTCTGAAGAGAGTCGTTTCCTTTCGCCAGTAATTGTAGCAGGGCAACAAAGTTTCCTCTGTTAATTTCATAACTAGAAAAATCAACACGATCATCACGATGACCTCTAAAGGCCAGACTCTGCTTTGCCAGAAACTCTACAGCCAAAACAATCTGTCGTAGAATTTCTTTGTTCTCAGTGGCTTGATTGGCTACGGACGTCGCCAGCTGGGAATCTACTCTACACCTGTCAGGATTCTCAAAAGTTTGTTTGAAGAGGTCTGCCTGTTCAGTTGCATATTTATGCATCACAGATTGCTCATGACAGTTGAGGATGCCATCCTTGCCAAGTGCCTTAGTGTACGATTTCTGGTATGGTGCTGTGACCAATACACCTGGTGTTGTTCCCTTGGTAACTTTGTGAGGGAATAAGATACAGTGACTACAAATACCACCTTCAAGTAAGTTACTGTAGCAAAGCCAGGGAAACTGTTTTAGCCATTGGGATTGAAAAGAAACTTTCCACGTCTTCTTTCCTTTGGTAACTTGATGAGAATGAAGTATATCGGACTCAGAAGGCTTCCAGTGAAACGTAAGGTATTGCATTCTTTTTTCATCTGTAATTTCCTGCGATAATCGCTTCAAAACACCCCACGAGCCTTCAGCAGCTTTCACAACAGTACCCAAATCGATCTTTGTGCCTGTGGTTGAGCCAGAAGTGGCAGCCACGGGGCCTTTTGTAACTACATCTAAAATTTATAAAAACAACTATTTGTATACATTCATAACCCCTAATATGTTAGTCCCTTCCCTACTTCAAATAACCTCAATAAAAATTGAACACACATACTTTTTATTTGACAAAATTTCAATTGACAATATTTGAAGTTGTCATACACACAAATTAAAAAAAATACCATAGCCTGCTGATACAAAATGTCTTGGTTAGACCTTCAGTAAATGTTATAATAAACTATTTTCTATAACACAACACTGTTATGCCACCGTGTTATATAACATTTTTACTCTTAGCGGCAAACAAAACTAACGTCATATTCTTCCCCTAGAGCATAGATATGTTCTTTATCTTCAGAACTGCAAGATATTTCAAAAAACTGAAGGTGATTCAATTTTTGCAAAATCAGTCTTATGTCTTCCCTCACAAGGCTTACACCAACCAGGCACAGAACATTCAATAAGCATAAAGAGGCAGTAATTGTTGCCACTTGATTGGCAGTGAATCCTACTCGGTTGAGCGATAATATTCTAAGATTTCTTAATTGCTTTAAAATAGCAGTACAACAACAGGTATCTATTTTTTGACAGTCATTAAGGATCAAGGTTTCAAGAGGAGAGGACTCAATCAATAGGAAATTAAGGGATGATATCGGTTGTCCACTTAAATCCAAATATCTCAAATGTTTAGAAAATTCTATACTATTTCCTAGTAATGCTTCCAGCCTCATTTCGGATGTTGTCATTACGATATATCTTATGGATAAATATCTGAACCCACTGGAGTGTGACATGATGTTCATAAATTGTTCTTCACTTAAATATGTTATGTGCCACTCATCAAGAAGGAGGCAACTCCACAGAATGTTGTTATTGTTTACAGTGTGCCTCGACCTTCGTGAGACCAGGCACAATGTTTTAAGCATTTCTTTAAGGGAGAAGTTTTTAAACACCTCGACCAATACCTCATCAGGCAAAGCTGTGTACAAAACGAAATTAATACTAGTCAGTTTTACTTGGAATTCTCCAGACTTCTTGCATCATTTGAATAAATACTTTTTTCTCGGACTGGTCAATATAAGTTTAACATTCAGATAAAAAA